GTTTGGTTAAGGTAGCGGCCTACCACAGTCTTCCACGAGTTCAACATACCCTGTGGCGGGCCAAGAGCTGGCCGGCTTGAAGGTGTTGGTGTGGCAGTGAACGTCACCAGGGTTGGGTCCAGCTGGAACCATGGTGGAATGGTAGTTGCAGGCGTTGCGGAACCTGGTTCAGCCGAAGGTTGGGACCAGGTTTTGCGTAGAGCTGCAGCAAACGTGGCTGCAGCGTTATCTACCATAGCCGATTTCGATTTTCGGAGAGAGCTGAAAACAACGTTCGTTCAGAACGGCGTCTTCTTCTTTCTCTCCCACACTGTTGACTAACAACTTACTTTCACTTTCTCCTCTTCCCAGCCTAGGTCCTTTCTTCTTCGTCCTACGGCACATTAAACATGTTAAGAAAAAGAAACTAAAATCCTTTTGGTTTACGATTTAACGGGGTGGGGCAAACTGCAAATACTGTCGTTTTTTTTTCTCGTGAACTGTAATTGAGAACGTGCTCACGCAATGGAGACGGTTTAAGTGCATGTCCGTCCTTTATCTTAAATGTTATCTCCCGTTAAAGTATAAAAAATAATTTACCAACTTACCTTCAATTTTAGTATTTCATCGTAGTATTCAAGGGATCGGTAGCCGAGTAGACCAACGCACACCAGGTCGGCGCACGCGGAGCCGAAGCTCGCGCTGCAGAACCCGGGGATGCTGAATTAAATCTCAACCCTTGCCCCATTTGATCTGGATGAGCATTGTTCCAACGTGCGGTCGTGTTTAACTCCTGCGTGGTGCATGTTAAAGAACCCCGGCTGTACTGCACCGGCTAACTTTCTCATCTAAAGCCGAGACACCAGACATTTATTGAGTCCGGCTGACTTCGGCTGTATAAAGATACTAACAACGTATTCAGTACTACTTTCGTGAAATTCAAAATATCTGTTTCCTATACACGGCGAGAATTAAGCTAAATCCGTTTAATGGGGTGCACTTCATTGGCCATTAGTGAGTACAATCAGCAGCACCAAAACCAGATAATTTCGATATGCCCGCGTGCTATAAAACGGAGAGGGGTTGATTAAGATCAAAGTGCTAGATTGAACAGCTTTTTCTTATTTATTTATTTATTTATTGGTGTGTTTAGTTACTAGCAGTGCCAGAAGCAATGCGAAGGGGATTGGGTTAGGTAATTAAAACACAGTAAAAGAGCAGTCAAACATATGGCCAACAATTATATTGTTGTTGAGGGTCTTCACAAAATAGGGCTAGTAATGGCAGTTCGAAAATGTTCGTTATCAGAAGTTTCGGCGAAGGCTCAGGAAAGGGGATTTGCCATTGATCGAGAGTTGGACAGTCACACCGCATGAAAACACTTTGTGCAACAGGGGGGGGGGGGGGGGCGTCAATATTACGACGGTGATCGACACGTGCTGAGGAGCAAGAAGGTGTTTTTTGTAGCCATTCCTTGAAGCAAGACATGTCATGATATATCTTATGAAGCAAGCACACACGAAATATTTTTGTACGTTGTGAAAATGGTTATGACGAGGTTGATTTTGCTGCAGTAAGACTTGACGTACAATGACAGTTGGAATGTAGAAAACAAGCTGTGCGGTTTGTATTTTTTTTAAATTCTGAGATATGTGATTCTTGATGGAAGCTTCTTAATCTAATTTCGTAAAAATGCGTTCTAAAAAAGGGGAAGAGGAGGAGCAGAGGACCAGCATGAGAGGAGGAGGGGAGAAAGAGGGGCATACCCTCCCCTCCTCCTCCTCAAGAGCTGCACTCCAATTCGGCATTACAAGAAGTTGTGAACGTCTCATTTTTTTTCGATAGTAAAAACAAAAAAGTGAAAGCCGTTTACAACTCCCTGTAACGCCGAATTGGAGCTCAGCTCTTGAGGAGGAGGAGGAGGGGAGGGTACTGAGGGGAGGGTAGACCCCTCCTCCTCCTTCTCCTCCTCCTCCCCTCATTCTTTAATATGCTCCGGGGGGGTCACCTGACCTCTGGGGGAGGGGGTCACGTGACCTCGGGGGGTCACGTGACTTGGGGGAAGGTCCCGTGACCTCGGGGAAGGGATCACGTGACCTTGGGTGTCGCGTGACCTCTGGGGGTAACGTGACCTCTGATTGTCACGTGACCTCTGATTGTCACGTCCCTATTGAAAATATTTCTAAAGGGCCCGTCAGCCTTGAAGGATTATGGGACCTCACAGGCCTTCAAAACCCTTCAAAGATACCCTACAGAAAAACCCTTCAAGGATACCCCATAGAAAAACCCTTTAGCCCCACAGCCCTTCAACCCGTCAGGCCCTTTAGCCCATCAACCCTTTAGACGCCCAAATGACTGTGAACCATAGACAAAAATGCAGGTCAAAACACTGAAAATTTATTGCCGACATTTAGTTTTACATGCATATTAGAACTCAAAAAGCAACGCTTGTTCAAACCCGGCGCAAGGAGCTGTAGACGAAAGGGATCACATCAAACAGGGACAACTGACATACTTATTACAAAGGAAAATACCTTTCAAAGTACTCACAATGCCGCTGGGTATATTCCTGATGTACGGTAGTTCAGCTAATAAAACAGCAGGTGCACCTCACGGACACATACACAGTCTGTCAGCACGTTTAGCGAAAACCACGAACTCGTAAGCAGCACCTGCCGCCGTTGAGAAATCCCGAGCACAGTCACGGTTTCGTCCATGATGACATCGCGCCGGAGTCTTCGGCGTATTTTTCGCTCGCTGGTCTGAAGTCGGACGGACGAAGAGGCGCAAGGAACAAGTCCGGACAGCGGCCGTCATCCACTGTCTCAACACCCACAGTGGCATAATCTTGGTGCGCAGGCACAACATGCGGTGGGACGCTGACCCCGACTGCCAGGCTTTGCAGCGAGTAAGCCGACACCGGCCACCATCTCCTTGAATGCGCTGAACACAATGGCGCTCGAGCGGTGCTGAAGGCGGCCTGCGCCGAACTATGGTTCACCTGCGGTACCAAGAAAGAAACTGCACGGATCAAAACAGACCAAGGGGCGAGCCCTCAAAACCATGCATGCTCACCTTCCTGGAGGAAATTGGTCCGCTCCAAACATCCCGGCTTGTGGGATAACCGGAACCGCACACGAGCAGAGAGAAAATGGCTATGGCCTCCCCCGCTTGCACACAGCACCCTCCTCCCCCCGACCGCTGGCCTGGCAGCCCTGCACCCTCTCCCCATCGCCGGGCGGAAAGAGGCGATTGCTTTTTGGGGACAGTCCCCCGTGGGGGGACCGGTTCCCGGAACGAGTCGCTCCCGCGTGCGTCCCTGTTCCTGGAAAGCGCGCACTGCTCTCGGCTTGTTCTTTTTTTTTTTTCTTCCTTGTGTTTTTTTTTTTTTTTTTTTTATACATGGCTGCACGTAGGGTGCCTTCATGTGCGCTTTGCTTAGGGTGGAGACATCTGGCCATTTTGTCTCACACTTTTATTTTTTGTTCAGAAGCGCGTGAAAGAACGTGTCCCTGCACGCGCTCGTGGCGCTGACTGTGCTACGGCGACATTTTGTTGTCGTCGATATCTTTGTATTTTAGCCGTGAGCGCGTGCTGTCGGCATCGGGTACTACAATGGGTGGCATCACCCTAAACAGAAGGACATTGAGGCACCCTAGCTGCACGTATTTCGCCTCGAGCGGACAGGATTGCGTTCGCCTCAAAACGCCGCTCGGCCAACACCACTCGGCCCGCGGCTCGTCAATCCTCCACATGGGCCGTCGCCCTCAGTAGCCTCTTTCGCGACCGAACACCCGGGCAGTGACAGACGGGTCCAGGAGCCCACTCGTATTTGATAGAAGAGCAGTAATAAAAATCTGACCGTGCTCACACACGATCGGCATTCTCCAAATACTTATTTTTTCCCCCGTAGCGTACAATAAGCAGCTACGTTCATTAATTCTGCGAAATGTGTTTTTTCCACCTGGGCCGTTGCCCACACAGACATATCAAGAGGCCTGAAGGTTTTCCCGACCCCACTAGAAAAGTTCTTGACAGGCTTTCAGACATTTCAAGGCATCGTAAAGGGGACTTCAGACATTTCAGGAGGACCTCTGACGGGGCCAGTGAACCCACCAGGAAATATCGGTGCCCCCGTCAAACATCTCAGAAATTCCTGAAGTCCCCTTCACACCCTTTAAAAAAATTCTGAAGTCCCATCAGAGCGATTTTCAATAGGGGTGACCTTGGGGGTCACGTGACCTCGCGATTACGCCGACGCCGACGCCGCTCAAGCCGGAAGCGGGCGCCTAAGATCTGCGCTCTAAAATGAAAGACCTTTACAACTCCTTGTAATGCAGAACTAGAGCGCAGCTCTGGAGGAGGAGGAGGGGAGGGTATGCCTCCTTTCCTCCCTCCTCACCTACTCCTTCCCTGCTTCTCGCCTCCTTCCCCTCTTCCCCCTCCTCCTTCCTCCTCCCTTCCCCCTCCTCCCAGTCCAAAACCTGCCCCCTCGTACCGGCGCGGTGAATTATAGGAAACGTCCCATAGTGCACCGCGCGACGCCGACGCGTTACGGCTACGCCGATGCCAAAACGTCACGTCGACGCGTCACGCCGACGCGTCACGCGCACGCGTTACGCCGACGAGTTACGGTTACGCCGGCGGCGACGGCGACGCCGCTCAAACCGCAAACAAGCACTTAAGAACTGCGCTCTAAAACCATCCAAAGCCTAATCCAAAACGGAAGCTTCATAATCCAATTTAGTAAAAACGGGGTTTAAAGAGGAAGTTTAAAAAGGTGGGATCAAGATAAAATTGTCTGCGAAGATAGCCAATAACTCCGATTAGAGATTTTTTTTTTTATAATATATTTGACGTGACGATTCTAGGAAAGGTAAGACATGTGTATCCAAAAACGGTGACAAGCTTCTGAACATTATTGGGTCATGCACCAGGGTGTTCATATGTTTCCGAAGTCACTCGTAGTCTGAAGGGATTTGTATTACGACTAACTAAACTGAGTAATGACATTTATGCAGGGCCCTTATCCGGCAGAAGATGAAGTGGACCCTGACGTCATCAATGCCGGTTTGCAAACAGTCACTGCCCTTCCTGGAGCATCGTTTTGTAGCTCCGATGACTCATTTGGACTAGTCAGAGGGTGAGGGGGATGAAAAACAATGACCACGATGAAATGTTTTGGGGGAACCGTTTATCTACAGTTCAAATCAATAACGAATTCTTTTGAAGAGCAAGTAGGGGAAATACGCCAAGGGAAATACTGGACGCTTGTTTGCGTCGTATGTGAAAAATGCAACGATTGCATGAACGCTGTGACAAAAATGGCGTATCTTCCGCAAAAAAAAACAAAAAAACAAACAAAAAAAAAACAAAAAACAACAACAAAAACCTGGGCCTATAGTTTTGTAAGTGTTTGATACTGTTCGATCCTGGTCATCAAAAACTTCGATTTTCCGCAACCGTCTCCAGCCTTTGCTCGGCCTCTTTTCCCAACTAAAGCTATCCTCGAATTATATTACATATCAACGGGTATTTGAATATAATACGTTGCGTTGTGCGTTGCAGGGGGCACCTTGACCTCACCATGCTGGGCGGAATGGAAGTGTCTCAACACGGAGATCTGGCCAACTGGATGATTCCTGTAAGCAGGCCTTGATTTTATTTCACCCCTCGAATGAGGTACCGTAACTTCCGATGTAACAGTCGCGGATTTTTTCCCCCACTTCTTATTGTACGTTTTATATAAGGTGTGACTTAAATACGGTTTTGTGCAAGTATGACATCAACTGTGAGAGATGCAGGTCGTGTCAATTTTTACGGCATAAGAGGAATATGTCAGAGCACCCCCTCATGGCCCGCTCTTCCGGTGTTCCGAAGATGGTTCTCAGCGTGGCGAGATGTTCCAATGCCGCATAGAAGACAAAGCCTGAGCACGACGTAATTTTTAGTAAATCAAAGACCCGATCAGAGCGGCGAACAAACTTAAGCTTGACGAGGGTTGCCGGAATGCTTCAGACACATGTGTCTTTGCGACGCCGCTTGCTAGCGTCGCGTTCGTCGAGAGATGCCTCAAGACGCGCTAACGGCGATGCCCAAGCGAGGTAGGCCACGCTGCGTGAACGAACGAGTCACGCCGTTTGGGGAAAAGGCAGTGAAAATGTATTTTAGGTGGTATAGCGTGTTCACGGCTTCAGCGACTCCGCCGACCGTACAAAGTGTCCAACTGATGCAAATGTGCGACTTCTAAACGAACTATTTTCTGAAACTAAACACGTTCAAACCGAGGGTGGGGTGCTAATTATGCAATGGTGTGACTTATAGACATAAAAACACGGTACATCGTTTTGCTTGGCGCGGAACTAGGCGCTGCACTCTGTACGACTGTAGACAGTGGCAGGTTAAGAATTAAGTGACGCAAGTTAAGGGGTGCCCAAACAGGACACTACAAAACGCACGACTCCGACAAATCGTGAAAATTGAAGCGGGCTTGAAGCGGGCGCGTCCGCTTCAATTTTCACGATTTGTCGGAGTCGTGCGTTTTATAGTGTCCTGTTTGGACACCCCCTTACACGTTGTCATGTAAATAGTGGCTTTTCTGCCCCGCAACGTCGTCCTTCACAGAGGAGCGGAGAGAGAGTTGATCACAGCCAGTGGTGCGGGACATTGCGTACACCGTTCGATTTTCTATTCGAACGAGGTGGGCGACGACAGGACACGAGGGGGATCATGTTCAATGACGCCTTTTTGCGGAGAAAACGTGGAAACCATTGCTTAATTGGCTTACTTTGAGACTGATCGCAACGACTGAACTCGTCAGGTGTTCAGCGTGCTAATAAATGCGGCTTTGAGTGCCTCTGTTCAGTAGACAACATTTACCAATTTCACCTACAAAGGGCATTCATAAAGTTCATTTTGAATGAAAGAGCTGCGATCAGAAACGTTAATGACGCACTCCTAAAGAAAAAACAAAATGTAGCACTTTGTGCTTTTGGGATTAAACCTGCTGCCACCAAGAATTAAACCTGTTGCCACCAAAAACCAGCAAAAGCTGGTTTTTGGTCCTTAATACTTTTTCGTCTCTTTGCATTGTTCCTTCTTAGGTTGAGCTTTTGATTCGTCAAAATGAGCGTTTGTGTTCCCTACCGCGGATCGTAAGAGACGTAGTTTAGCCCTTGCGTTTTCTTTAGCGCCTTCGTTCTAGAAATTGCGGACCAACTTTCTCCCCCACTGGCATCGATGACTCTAATATTGGGAGGTAACTTTATAAATTAGGAATGAACTTTCGGCTCTTTGTGAACCGAATTTGACATATTATAGGCAATTAAGTAAAAATTGAACAGGGAGTAACTTTCGTCCTTTGGGGACCAAGTTTGACACTTCCAAGGATGAAATAAGTTAAAAGCAAGTAACTTTCGTCCCCTTTGGTATTAACATCTTGTCTTTTGATGAGACTTTTTTTTCTACTCTTCAGCTGAAAAGTGAAATGTTTCGCATGCCTGATTGCCTTCTCCAGACATTTGTGCGACGTTTCGGAAGAAATGTTTCCGCCAAAAAGTCACAATGTCTGTCTTCTTGGAGGCAGGCTTACTTCAAATGATAAAAATATAAAAATCAGCAAAAAAAAAAAAAAAGACGGCACCGGAAGTAGAGTTTTTAATAAAAAAAAATTGCTTTTTGTCGTTTACAAAAAACGTTCAGAAGCGACATAAAGAAAAATTCCAGAACTTAGTGTGCAAAAAAAAAAATATTCTAATTCCAAAGGATATGCCATAAGATAATCAAATGCTATAAACAGACATCTGAATAGCGTCGCCAATATCCAGAGAATGTGTGCCAAACTTGTAGTTTTCTCTCAATGTTGGTCATTCTGGGCAAGAAACGAAATGCCACTAGTTTACACCACGTAATATTAAAGGCGCAAGCTAAAAAATCAAAGCAATGAAGGTTCAAAGGGAAACTGTTTGATGCTTTCCCCTCTTTGAAAAGACACTGAAGTTTGTGGCTGATATGTTGACGAACGTTAAAACTAAGTACATATCCTCAAATACCTGAAACAAAAAAGGAAAGTACAATCACAATTATGCAATATGCATTTTCTTTAAACTTATCGAGTTACCAGCGACAAGGAAATCTGCAGTGTTAGTTCAGGTGGACAAAAAAAATTGTAGCTGAGAACACGAGCACCAAAAGAAAAAGGTAGGTCCGACGACTGTAGGTGCAGTTTGATTGACTTCGATAAAAAAATGAACAACCCCCGCTGGTAGCCTACAATCAGAAGGTTTGCGAGCTCACTTTTCTGCAGAACACAAGGGCAGTCAATCACGGCGGTCCATAGAAGGTTCCCAGCTAATGACATAAAATATGATTATATGATTAGAACTGAAAAGAACGCGATGTGTCCAGGAACAATGCTCACTTTTGATGCGCAGATTTGATTGTTTTAGATTTCTTGTATTTTGAGCTTCCTACGATTCTTATATAAGTGACTGTCTCCATGTCCTATAAAAATTGAGTTTACATCCTTTTTTAATGTAGTCGGCTTCTAGGAAAAAAAAGTGAGAGCATACAGGTCGGCTCAGTTTTTCTTGCGAGGTAGATAATTTCATTCATCTGTTGTGCCAGACATCCCCACCATCAAATTATGTGTCAATTAAAAAGTATATTATTAACTTAATCTAGGAGCAAACATTCTATATGTTGCGTTAAAAGAAAATCTGAATAATTCTGGACATGTGCCAGTTTGTGACATTTGTACTGAGGTGATTCTCATTGTATGTTTTTTGACCAATCCACAAGTCCACCTGCCAACAATGCAACTGAAAAATGAACCACTATGATTGTTTTCAAAGCTAATGAAAAGAACACCAAATGAAGCTCCTAGAAAGCCTCTTGACGAAACAAAAACAAACATTGCCCAGCCAACTTTTGCATACGTGCAAGATTTTTTTTTTACTTAGAGCTGCAAACGGGGAGCTATATCTCCCAGAGAGGTGGCTGTACTTATAATATATTTTTCTACTACCCTGCAATAAAAACACAAATATTTGTCGTGAAAACACAATCTCTGCTGTGAATTGCTGCTGGGAGAACCTGAGGAGCGGACTGTTATCTTTGCTTGATATTTACAGTCTTATCGGCGTCTACAACACAACCCCCCATGTGCTATCTAAATCTGAGCTACCACGAGCCAAAGGCTGAAAAAAGCAAACCCTCACGTACATCTTCAGAAGTGGGGCTTCCTCATTTTTAGATGGCTACAGAATAGTAAGGATTATCTGGAATAGTGGTAATGCGCATATTGTGGATTATTCCTGATGAGAAACGTTTTATCCTGCTTCTTTCCACGCCCACAAAGATAGAGAGAGAGAGAGATTTGAAACGTTGCAGAAAAATACTAGGCAGATACGCCTTTTTGAACAAAAATATTAAGGTTTAAAGAAGTTTATATTTTACCTCAAATATGTTCAGGTTGTCAAGGACAGGGGGAAAAAGAACACTGAATTTTGCGACAAGAGCAAAACGGAGACATAAAAAAAGAACCCCGATTTTAAGATGTTTTTGGTAGCAAGGTGCTCACAGAACTTTAGAACAATGTTTTCAGTCTAGAGGAACGTTTCCTGTTATCTTTATATTAGTATGAGCTTAATTTAAAATGCAATAAAGGAAATGCTCAAAATGATCCCCATGAGAAGCATGCAGAGAGTGTTAATCATGGCAGAGTATAAATTTTCCGCTTTGGTTGTGCAGTCAATGAAACGGTGTTACTTTCTAGGGAAGATGACTGTTAAACACCATCATTACGCTAAGGAAACAAACACTCCTGTCTCTCAGCAATCTGGCCATCCTTACTGTGACGGTAAGGGTTGCAAAAATGTGTTCTCCTAACACAAATATGTCATCTGGGGTAGGCAAGCAAATAGTTACGGCTGAGGAGAGCTGATGGCTGGGTGTCAAGGCAACACATATTAAATACGCGAGGGCAGGTAGCAAACACAGTTAACTGATATTAAGGACGGCTGTGAACTTTCCATTTTTCACGAATTGCGATAATGAACTCGGGGCCCGTTAATTCGAAGCTCCGTCAAATTTGGTCGACAATAAAGAGTCCTTGCCAAGAGCCTAGTGGGATCCTAAGACATAAATGACGTCATACAGAGTGGCTCAACGTTTTTTCTTGCGCGGTATATAATGCCGTCGATCTGTTGTGGCGTAAATTCCCTCCGTAAAAACACTGTTTCGTAGAAAGGCAATTAATATCCTGCTTTAGAAGCGGACATTGTAGATTGCGCTTTAAAGCTTAATTTATTATATTTAAAGCACGATTAACGTCGAAGATTGCAGTCGCAAATAACGCAAATCATGACTTTGTTTGATGACGACTCATCCTTCACTCTACTTGGTGGTGTTGAATCCGCGTGCTTCCACTGTTCACTTTGTTTCTTCGCCATGAAATTGCAATAGTGCTTCCTACACTTATTCATAATGATCAGGCGATCAAAGAATCACTAAGGGCGGCTTGACAAAGCTGCATCAGTTTTGTTGCAAGTTCATTTTGCTTAGCTTTGCGTGGGTGTGAGCAGTAGTGGTACAGCGGGGGTGGGGACGTTCGTCACGTGAAAATAATTCGGCATTATGAAAAACATTTTAACATAAAAAAAATGAAAACAGCGCGAAGACAAGGAAAAACTAAGAAGTTACCGAAAGGACACAGCGCTGGTATCCTGTAAGTTACCTTTTACTTTGTCCTCGTCTTCGATCTGTTTTTGTTTTTGTTATGACTGAATACCAGCCTGCCCTAACTTCCACGTTAATCAAGCATTTAAAACTTGCCAAGACTACTGGGATATGGGGTTGCCTCACAACGCAAGTTTTGCGCATACTGTCTGAATCATGCTGCTTCTTTGTACCAAGGCCATTGTTCATAAAAACCATGTGCAGGCATGTGCATAAATATGTGTTACATGTTTAGAACATGCTCGAGGCGTCTATACTTATAATGTCATCAGGACGTGTCTTTTATCTGATGATGACAGCGGCTTAAACTTAACCGCTTGAGCAACCAGCCACATTTTACGCTTAAACGATGATATAACCTTATGATTGTCACGCAGTTACACACGAACTACCACGGACAAACACGACCAACTTTACGCCTTTTCGACGCAAACCAGGTTTAATATACAAATTAGCAGAACGCAAAAAAAAAAAACACTCACTGCAAAATGTCAGCGTTACGAATAATCTTGTTGGTAGCCGCTTGCTGCCATGTTGTAGAGCAAGTGGAAGAACTTGAGGAGTGTTACGAATGCATTTGAAGGTCATATATGTCCCTGAATGAGGCATGGCGAGCATGACCTGTCACCGAATATACAAAATGTATTATTTAGAGGCAGCAGACTTTAAAGGGGATAGCGAGCCGAACATTTCAGTGTATATAATAAACGGCGCACTATCTTTTCATGAGTTAGCAGTTGCCGGTGTGCGCGAGCACACGGAACGAAATTGACGTCGCCATATCTCCCATTCGAGCTTATTAACCGTGAATGGGGGATAAGATGAAGTCAATTTCGTTGCGTGTGCTCGCGCACACCGGCAGCTGCTGACTCATGGAAAGATGAACCGCCGCTTATAATATACACTGAAATATTCGGTTCACCATCCCTATAAATAAAATGAACCTTGGGTTAGGGTTTTCTTACCCTTGTACTAAGTTGGTTGCTACAGGGGCAACTAGAAAAAAAGTGAAATGGGCTATTTACCCATATGGTTAGCTTATATATTTACTTATATATGTAACTATACACCAAATAAAACTTATATTAATGTTTTAATTTTTTTTTCGGAAAGGAGGGCGGCAATGCAGTTGCAAAATTAAAGCTCTACTCCATTCTCTTCGAGTCGTGACGCAAAATTTTGATTTGAATTACGTAGTGGACACTACTGAGATAGAAATGCCGGCTTAGTCACGGATTCAAAATCGAAACTAATCGTCGAAGCGCGCGCCACTAGCTCCAATCGCTCCGCTATGCGCTTGCGTCGCACTGCTGATGCACCTGCGGCGCAGACACATGAAAGTGTTGGGGAGAAATGACTTCATTGGCGCGCACAACCGTGACTTGAAACCTTATAAACAATTTTTACGTCACGGCTGCATCATATATAGCAGTGTTTTAGTAGATCGTTTGGTCACTCCAGCTACGCTTTCCGCAATGCGCTACTACCTCCGCTATATGTAAAGCGTAGCTGAACGGCAATTTCAACTAGTATATTTTGCGTTATGAGAGCTAACGCAACACCACTAGTGGCTCTTTGAGAAACTAAGGCTCGCATAAAAAAAAAAGGCTCGTAAAGCGATTTCTTGTAACTTTTATTAACGTTGCTATCTAAATAGAGTATTATTTTTTGTTCAAATGAACTGCTATTCTTTGCTGCTTTTAGAAGTAAACGATTGTTATGCTTTAATGGAATTCTACTGACGGCCAAGTTGTCCAAGTTGGTCCGATATGAGTCCTTCGCAAAAGCCGTCAAGGGAAAACTTCAGATGTGGCAACAACCGAAGCCCTTCTGTTGTGTCGCTGCGATCGAGCCTACACTTTTCACTGCTCCCCGATCATGAAACGCCACTGAAATCGCTCGGATCCGCCTGCTCGATCACTTTTTTCGTCGGTTATTTTCTCACTCAAAAACCAACCGAGTAGAAAGCCCACCCTTTGCTCACAGCACTGATTGCCAAGTTTTTTTTGTTTTTTTGTTTGGCTCCCCGGTGTCCGTGTTTAGCATGCCCGACATAAATCACTACCTGTTGCGGAACCGGAAGGGCGTCGCGCCTACTTCTCGCAGCAGCAAGATACAATCCACCCCTGAGAACCGCGATCGTGAAGCGGACAGAAAGGGCGTTGGAGCCATTTTAAATTGCGTTCCTCGCTAGCTCACCCTGTCTCGCCAAGAGTCGTTCTCGTGAGACCAATGCTAGGCCGTGGGCTAAGTGCTACGTTTCTCGCAATTTTCGTGAAATAGCTCGCTTCCGCTAGCTTTGGCTGCTCCGCTAATTTTTCGCTAGCATCGCACATGCGCAGTAGTGACATTGCTCCAGCGTATAGCGCAACGCGAGTGGGAAACGATTTATTAAAACTCCACATTGAGGTCGAACGTCAAGCCTCCAACTTTGTTAAGCCCGGAAAAAGGAAAATAAAAAGAAGGATGTCCAGAATTTTTTTTTTTTGCGAAATGTTAGCTTATTACATTTTTTTTTCCACCTTTTTAATTGTGGCCCCAAGGCCACCAACTCTACGTTTAAAAAAGCGAGACCGCTTGTTCCTTATTTTAAAATGACGATCCCTCTCAAAATAGACACCCTGTACAATCGTAGTGAAGAAACAGGTACAATACCGTAAACATCTAGGAAACCCTTCGCGACCGGTATGTAATTTGTTTTAATAGAATTAGCCCTAGTTTTTATTGCAACGTTGTCCGTTTTAATTTTGTCTTAGCTATAGCTAAGCCCGTCCCCCTTATGAACAAATTCACTTAAAGTCAAAACACCGGTCAAGTCATGAATAAAAAAGTTATCTGTATGTAAATAAAGTGATTTGCGTTCACTTCTTGAAAAGGCGTCCGAAACAAACCTTTTCTTGTACATGTCTCGATAGGACACGTATGTCATAAAAATAATTTTAACGAAATATTTAATGTTTATCTTTACGCCGCGAGATACATTTTGGGTTCGGTGATATCTTGAGTGAGGCAGTGGATTTCATCACAAAATGTTACTTTAGGCGTTAAGGATGCGTTACATTTCATTTCAGTGCGGGGTATCCAGAAAATTTGGGCGTTCGGTGTCTTTTTAAAGGCGTACTGCAGAGCGTACTTGCAGAGGCGTACTAGTCCTAGTCTGGCCAAAGTATACTCGCAGAGACCTCCACTGAATCAGAAACTCACTTGTCGAGGTGAAATTGCGAGAATAAAAGCGGACTATTTTTTTTCATTCTTGTCTTCGCAAAGTTTGTTGACGTAATTGTGGGATAAAAACCACCCGCCCCTGAGTCGAGCACGGCTCATGGATCGGCCATGAGATCTGTGTGAGCAGTCGACTTCGGCTCGCAACAATCAATTCTTCGGCGGCCACTCAGGCAATGGCTCGTGTAAAACCACTGCGGCAAAAAGAATAGCCGAACTCTAAGAATGTCTGGAGCTCAGCACGCGTTTTCTATTTTTCCGACCCCAGCGCGTGACTATAATTAACGTTGCCGGCATAGGACAGGCATCAGCCCACGTGGCCGCTTGTTCTGGCTCCGAGTTAAGGGGATGAATGATGCTCATAATTCTCTATTTTTTTTTTAACCATAAAGAATGGTCTTAAAAAAAAAAGTAAAGGAAGTTTTTTATTTATTTATTAACGTTGAGGACGGATTCTGCGTAGTGTTTAGCGAAAGTAGAACAATCGTTTCATGGCTCCTTTAAAGGTATCGAATGCACAGGGTGCGTTTCTAGGCCTTACAGACTTGTTTTATAAAAAGTCGTGAACGTTACATTAGAACAGTTTGTGCAGGTGAGTTAAGCGGCCAGGTGATCATAATATAGGCGGCTATTCGTCAAGCTAAGTTGTCAAATTTACTAAACTTTGTTAATACGTCTTTGATTAGTAAATGTAAACGTACGGTTCTACTGAGAATATTGCTGAGCATCATCGAAAACAACTCAATAGGTAAACTTAAGAATGACTTGGGCGCGTGGGAAGCGCGCCAGGCGATGCAAAGACACGGACAAAAGACGGAAACTTCTCGGTTGTGGGTTTTGACGTCGGTGGCCGTGGGCCTGTTGGGCGAGTTGTAATTTTAGCGCGCTTCCCAGACGCTAAACTTTATTTTAAAATTTACTGACAATGTTTTTTATTGACGCCAAAAAAGTTCATTCTTGGAATTATATGTTGATCTTCAGTAATGAAATAGGTAATTAACAAGCTGCATTAAATTAATCGACTTATCGTGACCGTGGGAGTGTAGCTTTCGCGGCTTGCGGGATGTTTCTTCAGCCTGTAGCCTGATTACGGGGTGTTTTATTTAACCTGTAGCCTAAAAAGACATTGTATTTTCGACCCATCGGTGCTGCTTGAGAGTGTCTGTAAGTTGAGTGCGCAAGAAAGCGCATTCAAAATCTGGGCACTAGGAGTACAAAAGAAGGCGTACCAGGGTCCTCGTTCCGTTACAGGGCAAGCTGGTCAAAGGAATGGGCGGGGCTATGGACCTGGTGTTCAGCAGAGCACTCGGGACCAAGGTCGTGGTGACTATGCAGCACGTCACCAAGAAAGGGAAGCCTAAGATCGTGGAGAAGTGCAGACTCCCCCTGACAGGCCTCCGCTGCGTCGATCTCATCATCACCGACATGGTGAGGACGATTCGCTGCACTAAGAAGGGTGGAACGCGATAGCTAAACATAAAAGCTCCCGCTCGCTCCCAAGCCGGTCAAGCGCCTCTCAATGGCCTATAGTCAGTAGAATTTCTGAGTCGCAAACAATGGGTCGTGGGTTCGAACGCCCCTACGATTATTCATTTTTTTATAAGCAGAGTGAATATTTTTACAAATTGAAGTTATTTCAGACATGCGGTCACTTTTACTACGCAAAACATGTCACGTTTTAATCACTTTCATTCCACTCGGGACGTCGCATTTCACATGAGCGTTGTGGGTTGTTTGAAATTCCCAAGCAAGGTCATGTGACCGTGACGTCATAATCCTATCGACCAATCAATACAATAAAAATACAAACTACAAGACGACGCTTGGGCTGGCTGTCGTGATTCGGAATGTTTCTCAGTGCCGATGGTGCGAGAAGACCGAGCGTTGCGCTGCATCGAGTGACACTGTACTCCGTTTCACAGTGAGTACGACCGCCGACGACGCTACGATTTCAAAGGACGAATCGAGCAGCGTCAAAAAATGCGTCGTCACGGCGGTTGTTCTCTTTTTGTACATGCTTTCATCAGCTAATTCAAACCCGCACATGAATAAAGAACAAGATGGCGGCACATTCAATGTCCGTGGTTGACTTAGTCGGTGATAGGAAACGTGAAAAGACGACGAGTGCCGAGAAGGTGCATTTTTGTCGCTGTCCGGTTGGACCCATCGGGTTGTAGCGTTGGTTGCGGAGGAACTTCATCTGAAACGAAGCGCAGGGATCATTCGTGGACCATTTGAAGCCCCGTACTTCCCTCTTTGCAGCAAAGAAGCCGGAATTGCGCACGCGCCCCGCTAGCATTGCCTGTACACTTGCATGTTTCACAGCGGGTTCTGGAGATTGTTTCGCAACGGCGCAAACGGTCCACAAAAACGTTACCGTGAACGCCAGCGTGACACCGACAATTTCAGTATTTGACTTCAGATTTTTGCCGTCTATGTTCGTGCACAATTGATTATGCGCTTCAAACACCTTAGTAAATTTTATGGCGCCTTTATATTTTAAAAACACTAAAATACTGTTTGCGATAACAGTTTAGTGTTATGTACCCATACTTCGTTTCACCATAGAAGAGCGGAAGCAGCCGCCACTACCGAGTTGAACAATCCTACAGAGTCGAAAGCACGGCAGTCGTCATGTTTCTGTATGTGTTTTATCATCCCTGAACTAATCATTCGCAGGGAAGAACCAGTGATTTGCACTTTTGAAAATAGCGGCGGGTGCGTACGGATAGGTGAAACGAATTACACATAGATGATCGTTTCTTATGTTTTTAATGAAAGGATAAGCAAACAGAGAATAATCTGTTGCAACATTAGTATGGGCCCTTTGCAGTTTCGTGTATTGAGACTGTTTATTGTATTAAATTTTTCGTGCAATGAAGCCTCACGTATTGATACTTTGCAGTCCCAAGTTTTGTCTGAGAAAGTAAAATATTTCGGATATTGGAGGTGCCAGATGGAGCACAACTCAGATACGAGCCCACGTCGCATCAACAGCGAACGACGTGCCCTGAGGTCTGGAATCCCAGCGGCGCCAATCAATTTCTTGTTCCTCGTTTCCCCAGTGCGTGTTCGAAGTGAATGAGGACCAAGGCCTCACACTAGTCGAGATTACCGAGGGTCTCGCAGTAGAGGACATCATCCGAAGCACAGCGTGCGACTTCAAGGTATATATCCTTGGCTCTGGAGCTTGTTTAGTACGTAGAGTGGCAACAATTATGCTTACAACTTTGCTTTTTTTTTCACTTCGACTGCAGGTGTCACCTGAACTCAAGCAAATGCAGCAGGCCGACATGTTATAAAAATGTGCCTCTTATTCAAGAATAAAACTTGTGTTTTTTTCTCTTTTCTTTTTGTATAGACCTTTCTCGAAAACCTCAGTATGCCTCTCGTCAATCCCACATTGTAGCACCCGGCGCAGGGAATTCTGGGGACGGTCCAATGTGCGCTCGGACCGGTTCCAACGCTCCGGCTCCGTACGTCGTGGAAGGGGTTGAATTTCTTTTGTATTGCCACTACGGGTTCAGAACTCCAAAGAAAAAGAGCGAATCACGTCACAAAGCTGCTACAAGCCTGGCTTCACTATTGTCCTGCTTTCTTTCTGTTTTAAAATCGTAAAATGCTAAACCAACATGAACCACTCCTTCTATTTATGGTACTCCTTGACGCGCCGTACATCAAATGCGGTAGTGCGTTGAAAAAAACAAAGGAGGCCCTTCCTGTTCTCAGATTGGTCTTTTCTTGTTTCATTAGCCCGGCAAGGCTTCTGCCAGACTATAGCTGTCACATTTATTATTGATCATTAATGTTTGAGTGTTCGCGTTTTCGTGAATTTAAGCCCATTTTCCCCCCTGTTCCTCTCTTCCACACCTTCGTCATCAGGCTGCGGCAGTTTTCGCTGCACAATTGGGTAGGGGGTAGGTCATCGCTTCTCCCCTTTACATCTGTTCTACTAGGTAACGTCATAACAGCTTTCACAAAATGGGGGACTTACACTATGCTGCCTGGAACGCGTCTCTGACTGGTGCGTTTACCGCGCCCAAAAAAGTGGTTCATCGATTTCCGTCCGCTGACGTCACAGAATTGTCATGCTGTCACCGAAAATATCCCCTCACTGTCTCTTTGTCTTGTCTTAGCCTAAGCCCTCAGCCCAGGGCACCGCTGGCTTCAGCTATGTGGCTGGTCAAATTTTCATCAGCCGTCGCTGGTTCTCAGGCGTTGTGCTGGACAGTGCAGCCTCCCAAGAGCAAAGGGAAGGGTGGGGGATGGGATGGTCATTTTTTCCCGGTGATGACGGGCAAGCCCAGGTAGAGTTGTAGAGGATATGTATGAGGTGGGGGGGGGGGGGGGGGGTACTGGCAGCCCGAGCATTTGTCCGGGTATTGGGTGGGCAAGAATAAGTGTTCGTGATGAGGGTTGGGGAATGTGTGCGTTTCTTTAAAGCGCCACGCGGTAGCTCCGTGTTTGCTGAGTGATCGGTGCGGTGGTGGTAATGTTTTCTTTTGTGAGCGGTAGTATTTTGTCATGTTGCCGTCTGTGCGTCTAGAGTACCGGGAATGATATTGGTGGCTTCCCCTGCCCATGACCCCTCCTACCGCCCGCAAGGGGCGGATGATGTGAACAATTTGTGGGCTTTATTTCTTAAAAATTTACGCTGTGTGGGTTGCTAGGGCGAACGCTTGTGGGCTTTCGTTGCCTGGGAGGTAGGCATGACTGGGTTTGCATACGATGGGGACAGCGAGGAGTTTTTTGGAGTCGAATGAGGTTAATAGGCGCAGGGCTTGTGGAGACAACGCACTTTTGCGAAGGCGCGCCAGGCGCCTTGCGAATCGGTAATCATCGTGTAATGCTGTTGGACATCGTTGTGTGTGTGGTATATGTGTGCTAGTGTTAACACGATGGCGGTTTCTTCTGCGGTCCTGCTCGATCTCATGGCATCGGATAGAGCCCGTTGTCGCGATTGATCCTTTTGAGTTTGTGACTGTCAAGCCCATGGCATCGATGTAGGGTGGGTAGCAGGCGGCGTCGGCGTACAGCACGTGTGGGTCGGTTGAGAGAGTGTACAGACTCTGTCCTGGCTTCTCTGCGGCCGGCGTGTAGGTCGGGATGCGTTTTGCGTGGTATAGGCGCAACGCGAATCTTGGGTGCGAGTCCTGCACGAATAGGGCGCGATCGCTCTGGTGATTGTTGGCCTTGGGTTCCGGGCTGCCTAGACGACGAAGGAGGTGCCTGCCTGTACTCGTGTTACCGAGACAGGTGAGCTGGCCAGTTGTGTATAGGCTTCTATGAGTTAATCCACCGTATTGTGCAGGCCTAGTTGGAGTAGACGTTGGGTCTCCGCATGCGGGGGTAATCGCAATGCTGTTTTGACACCCAAGGGCACAATGATTTGTAAGCTGTCTAGTTGGGTGCGGTTGAATCGATGGTAGGGTACGTGGTAGACTATACGGGTCACAAGGAGAGCCTGTACAATGTTCATAGTGTACTATTTTTTCAGTCCTCCTTGTCTGTTGGCAGCGCGGCGAATAAGGTGGAAAATTTGGGCGCATTGTTTTTTAAGGAGTTGTATGGTGTGGGTTGCTCGTCCGTTGGACTGGACTTGAAGTCTCAGCACGTGCCTGCGGTCCCAGTGTGGGATGGGAAAACCTTAGAAATAGCGGTGCTCTTGGTGACGTAGTCCTGAGTTCGCCTTATATTGGTGAGAGGTGGCACTAATACTGCGCTGACACAGCTCTACACTAAGTTGCGTTCAGGTCATCGCTGTATCAGTGCTGTTCCTAGGGCTGATGTAGCACTACGATACATGTGTGAACATGTCTTTAGTTAGACAAACGCTCACTCCCTTTTTTTGCGGGTCAGGACTAAGGTGGTCATAAATTGTGCCTATATGCAAGCTGTTCGTTTTTATAATTTTAAAGCAGTAGTAAAACCAGTGCTAAAGGATCTTCACACGCACAAAAATAAACAATTAATAATAAAAAAAACTGCGATTTGTGGTGGCCCTGGTTTCGGTTTTATGCCGAGCGTTTTCGCGTGACTGGCGATGTTTAATTTTGATGAAACCGAGATGAAGAAAATATCAGCCTTTTTTCGTCGATCGGTAGGCATGGAACGAGCGTGTTGAATCTTTCGTGAGTCCATATTACGTGGACGTCTTCTGCTAAATGTTAATCTTATTAACCTTGACCTGCTTATTGAGGAAACGTAAAATGTGTTACTCTTTGTTTTTTGCAGAATACTGCATGAAAGTTTATTCAATATGGCAATATCCAAGCATTACTCAAATTGCAGCTTTCTACATCTGTTTTAATAGTGGAATGAACTCAGATTTCTGTGTCCAAAGTGCTTATTCAACGATGGGCCTTTGGAGAACTGAGGAAATAATTTCGACTATCAGGGAACTCTCAAAGCGTAACCAAAATCTCGGTTACACGGTCATTTCACCGCAATCAGCCAGCGTCAGGTTTTGAGCACTTCTAACGTGATTCGAACCGGGCACCTGGGGATTCGTAGTACAGCGCTTTGCCTCGAGGGCATCGAGGTGTGTTTCACCTGTTTCAAGCAGTTTGACACTCTATAGGAGAATATATTTATTTTTTAACTAGAAAAAACAACAAAAACTATTACACCCACTAGATTTCAGGTTCAAACATCTTAAATCATCTACACAAGCTCTGTTCACACTTACTACACATGTTCAGAGCTGAAGTAAAGATTATATTATTATAAACAAATTGAAATGAGAATCTCTCAGCAACTGCCACGCTCCACATGCGCGTGCCTCGGGAGGCCCGCTTCTGCCCACGGCGCCCACAGATGCTGAAGTTGATTTGGATGCTTTTCCGCATCAACCTCTCCATCGTCCGGCCGGCAGCCTCCACCAATGTCCCCCCCCCCCCCCCCCCCCCCCCCCAGGCTTGAGAGCTGCTCTTTCTCTTAAAAAAGAAACATACAACGCCTCACTTTACTACACTTTGTTCAGTCAAATACCCTTAGGTTGACTATTAGGAGTAAAAGCTTGGTGTATTCAATGCTACAGTTTAATCTGAACAATGTAAAACTGTTATGTGAACTATCATCATCCTATCGAGTCAACTAATGCTATATAATTTACACCTATTAAAAACTCAAGATTAGTCTTGTACCGTACAACTTATATGTACGTGAAATATAAAATTGAAGTCAGAGAACCCAAAAAAATATTTAAATGCAGCTATTAGGTTCTGCCTCCCAAGGCTTTAATGGTGTATTTCTTAATTTAGAGTTTCAAATGCATGTGCTGTCTACTGTCCTTCACAATATCTGTGAGATCATGGAATGTATAGTAAACTATGTGTACCGTCAACAACAAATTTTGCAAACCTCAGTTCAAGATCATCAAGTTCTTTACTTTCATGATAAGTTCTTTACTTTCATGACAAATTAGTTATTAGGACACAAATATTTATCAGGAGATGGTGATTGGCCACTTTATACTTTGCTTACTGCGAAAACCAGCAGAGTTTTGTGGTGATCAGGCAACTGTAGTGAAACTAATGAAACTAATGTAACCAACCAGAGGACCCTTTATCTGTTTGCAGACTTCTATAATTGTCTTTCAATCTTTATCCGCTGTGCACTGTGAGTCCCTATACATCCCATGCATGGGTTCGTTACGAAAAAGTGAAGGCGTGATAATAAAAAGGCTAGGAGGCATTTTAAAAGCAGAAACAATATATAGCCGAGTATAAAAGACTCCACAGCTATCTAAAATGTAAAATTTTCATACTAACCTAAGTTTATAAGAGGTAATTCTATGAATTCAGCTGCTTTTTTGAATAGCTTAGACAAAAGAAAAAAAAAAGCGTCAGATAATCACCAGAACAGCCTGGTCAGCAGGATTCGGAAGGCGAGTTTCCGCCATCTCAAAATCTGCCATTGTAGGCAACGGCAGGACAAATATCGCTTGCGGAGCGGGCTTGCTCCACGTCCGCCATTCGAGCTAGAAGTTGCTGCTGCGTTGCCATGATGCTGGCCCCCTGGTCCTTGAGCTGCCGCAGCTCAGACGGTACTTTCAGAAGCACTCGCATATGTTCTCGCTCATATGCTGAAATAGAGGGCAGAAAAAAAAATCATAGGTTTCGCAAGAAAATGCATGAGGAACAACAATTCGAAAATTGCTATGGTTTTATTAAATTGCCACCAGCATTATGCAACCTAACCCAGCAAACCCCAGCTTAAATGCATTGGGTATTATTAGTGTAAAATGTAATAACTAACGATAAACAGCGAGAGAGCAAACCAACTGAAATAAACCACATTT